AAAATTCTTAAAAACAAAATCATACCAATATTAATAAATACTCAAAACAACAATTATCACTCATATTGACATTTAATTAAAAAATAAAAATCATTAAATGCAAACAAAAAATAGAATAAAAGACACATATATTTTATGATTTTGCTTTTAAAATCAATTACAGTTCAAATACACACGACACACACACATTTTGTATTTTGTTTTATAAAAAATAAAATGGACAAAATCACAAATAATTAACGAAACGCCACGTAAAAATCCAAAATTGTACAGCAAGACCAATTGCTATTATTTTGTTTTCTTTTGGAGTGATTGTTGCATAAAACAAAAATCGCGTGCTCACAATAGTTGGTTTGGAATAGTTACTACTATGGTTCTAGTTAGATATTTCTTTTCGCGTTCGGTTTGTTTTAAACTAGTCTTCACTTATTTTTTTAAAGGAAATCAGACACATTTGCTATACAAAAATTATGTCAATGATATTTCTTTCCTTTTACGATTTTTTTGGGTAATAAATGTGAATATATTACCATAACAAACCAACAGTTTAATACAACTTAAGAGCATCCCAAGTTACACTAATATAACCAAAAGGATCTCCCCTATCATCTATATACTCCTTCTAATACATTCCAACAGGAAAAAAACTAACAAAATAACAAACACTATTTTGCTCTTTATGCTATCTACAGATATGTTGAATCAAAGATAGACATTTTCGAGCCTTCTTTATTGTTTGTAAGTCTTCCAGCCTTGCTTTTGTCTCTCTTTGTATCTGTGCTACCAAATATTCTGTATTTACACCTGTACCTTCAAAATAATTCGAATTACTTGCTTTCCATGTGTGATATATCAGTGCTCCCCATATAGCTGAGGCCATTTCCTTCTTCATCTGCGTCCACTTGCTAGTTTTGAACCAGTGTAATGTTTGAATCACCCCTCCGCTCCCTAATTGTATACCCGACCATGCACTAAGTTGATCCCTTATTGCTGTAATCCATGAACAAATGTTAATGAGTTTCTGTTGTTGCAATATCACGTAGTTGACAGGTGCCATCATCAACTGGTATATGCAGTCTTTGTAATTTCTCCTTCGTAAGAAGTCTATCTTGGTATGCAAGCCATACTATAAATCTATGCCTTTGGCAACATTGCCTTGGTCCATATCAAGTCAGCGTCCTGTAATTTGGTTAAGTCTATTAACATTGCATTATAGCTCCTTGTTACAGAATATTCTCTGTTGGTAATTAGTTTATATCTACCATTCTGATACCAATGTGCCATATTACCTTTTAGTACATTTTAGTATTCCTCCGATACCAGCTGATGTCTTGCGGTGGAGTATGCCCCCATATGGCTCCATCTTGTTTTATATAAATTCATGCACCCATAACAATTTTTTTTGCCATTCAATTGCCACAGTAGCTTACCTAGTGATGCTTCATTCCATTTCCCGCATCCCTTGATGTTAATACCACCAAACTTCTTTGGTTTGCGCACCTTTTCCGATGCTACCAATGTTACTTTCCTCTGCTCCTCTGAATTGCTCCACAGGTAATCTCTGTACCTCTTATCTACCTCCTTGAGCATACTCTGCTCCTTTGAATTGCCTAGAGTATGCCTTTGTGATTCTGTCTGTGATCATGCTCAATATGCTTCCATTACTCTTTGTATTGATCTTTTGTCTCCTTTACAGAAGATCATCTGCAAACACCAGGTGTGTGAGTTTGAATGTTCTGCACATATGATGATACTTAAAGTCAGGCAGTGTACTCATCTTCTTCAACATTCTTAATAGATACTCTATTACAAGAATAAATAATAATGAAGATATTGGATCTCATTGCCTCAAACCTCTCCTCTCCTCCCCTCCCCTCAAAATACCCATAGCCCTCCCCATTTAACTTTGTTGAGGTAATGCATTTCATAATCAAATGAGTAAAAGAATCAGGGAAGCCATATCCCTTTCTTTAAGTCTATCTTCATTAGGCACCTCGGAGAAGTTTGCCTATTATTGTGAACCAGTGATCTCCCCTCTACAAAAGCAATCTGGTTATCAGAGATTAAGTGAGTTAGAGCCTTCCTCAATCTCTGGCATATCATTTTAGAGATGCACTACATTACAACAGGAGGAGATGGGAATTTTACTTTTATTTATTTACCTATACAATAAGATTAGTGACCCCCCTTTTTTCCCAAGAGGCATTATCTAACATTTATAGTCCTTGAGAAACTTTTCTCATCATAAACTAGTACTCCCTTCGTTCTTCCACCACCCTTATCAAAGATCTTTCTTATGGGAAAACATACAAAAAAAAAAGCTAAACGTGCACAAAATAAGTTGAAACTAGAATTGTAGGGGACACTCAGTAAAGAGCTCCCTTCCAAAAATAGGCGTAAAAGGCGAAAGAATAGTTCGCTTTGTGGCAATACAAGGCCAGTGCTTCCCTTTTAATGTTGTAACAAAGTCTGGATTTACTCATTCTTTCCGATGTGGTACGCGCGCTCACTCTTTTTTCCCATAAGGCTTCAAAGTATATTACTCTTTCCGTCTTATTCTTCTTCTTCTCCTCCTTCACCAGTCCTGCAATTACTATATGGTGGGAATTTACAGGTTTTTCAAAATAAAAACAACTTTTGCGGTTCTGCATGATTTGTAATCTAATATTCGATTTCGCTTCAGCTTTTAGGTGATCGTGAAAAGATATATGCTCACAAACTGATCGACGAAATGCTGCACAGAACGATTAGGACTAATTATCTTGAATTTCGGATCCAGGTTGGTTTTTAATTGTATAATGGAGGACCCAATTGGCATAAGCAGGACACAGAGCAGTTCTCCGTCGATTAAATTTCATGGTTTATGCTTACTTTAAGTTGGCGTTACAATGGCATTCAGTAGTACGAGGAACCTTATACCTCGAGCTAAGATTTTGATTGCCAACAAAAGTGGATTGATGCGGTTTTATCACTGCTCAGAAGAAGTCCATGAGGAGGCTTTGCCTTCTGAATGGTATGAGAAAGCTTTCACAAAATTAACAAAATTGAGCCACTTGCTTAAGCATGTGGACTTTGTTGATGGTAAGCTAGTCAATGTTAATGACCGCGCGAGAGTTTATGATGAGAGCTTGGAACAAAAGATGTTTACTTTTAAATTATTGGCTAGGACTTTTATTGGGTGTCCGTCAATGCAAGAAATGATGAAGCAGAATATGATGAGAGCATTAGCTGATGCACAAAGCGACCACCCCATGTATTTCAGCAAAGCTAGCGAGAGGGAATCGATTACAATTGATTCCCTAACAAAAGTGTCAAACTTCTTGAATGTGTCTGCTCAACAAAAGAAGCTTGTCAGGCAATCGATATGTGCACAGGTGACAAAGTACCCGATATGGACAGGGGCACTCGAAGAGATATTGAATGGATTGAACTCTGAGATAGATTTTCTAAATAGTAGGTGTCCGAGTAAAGAAATTAATATGGCGCAACAAATAGTTACAACTTGTCAAAAGTTTTTAGAAAATGCCACTTCTTATGACCCTGAATCCACTTCATGGATGCGCCTCGCACCTGCAAAAGGCGTGGAGTCGCCCACTTCTCACAAGTGGGAAGATGTTCTTGAAATGTTCATCGACCTTACTAATTGCTTGAGTGAAGAGATAAAATTAACTTCAGAGGTTAAGAAGCTTGAGGTCATGAAAGAAGGGCTTTATCAGATTAGGGATGTTTCGATAGACAAAAACATTGGGTATAAGGAAACTCGCCACCAGGAGAGTTTAGTGCACAAGAAGTTGAGTAAGACATTGGGCCACTCATCGCGATGCGTGTTCTCTCTTCTTCTTTATTATCTTTATGGCAGCATATGGGATATTGAAGTTGAAGTTTGTGGAGGACTTTATGCAATTGGTCGCGGGGATAAATTCCGTCTGTGCATGGGAAAGATCTTAACATCCAATGAGGAGAATACAGTGCAGAGTGGGGTAAAGCAGCTAAGCAGAGTTTTGGGGCTTTTCAAGTTTGTATGGGAAACGGCAGGAATGAAAGGCGACCTAGAAGTTCAAGGCCATTTGTGGTGCATTGGCGCTGAGAATAAGCTATTTACCTATAGAAACAATCTGTTCTTGTTGCATTCTATTAGTTGCTGATGCAAGACTTTTCTCTGACAATGAGAACTAGAAAGGTTCCACCAGAGGATGATGTATACATCATTGAATGGGTATCGTAGGTTAGCATCTGATCAACTATTTGCTGTCATATCATTTTCAGTATCTTAGTTATGATATGGGGGAACTTTATGTCTGAGTTACAAGACAATCATCACTTTATTAATTTGTTACAAATTGGTGACACTGTATTTGATAAATTGGTTTTGCTGTTTAACTTGTAACGGACTTGCCTTAGTTTATGATGCTATAGGACAATTAAATGTTAGATATTCCTCCTTTTTCTCTTCAACTTGCACAGGCTGGACCAATCCTATTTTGAAAAAGGTCATTATAAGAAAAGACTAGCTGCCATACTCCACCAAGTTTTAGTAACTCTGTGATGCTGCTCCCTGCTGAGCTCCTTCAACTTAGCTGGTGATCTTTTACTTGCTGCTTGTGACGAGGACACACTCATCTACCCATTTATATATTTGAGGTTTGGAAAAATATGATGAATCTCAGGCTGCTTATGCAATGGGGGTATGTTAATGATGTTTACAGTAATAAAGGTTCAAAACTATAGAGGGGAACGACACAAATTGATTTTTTAACCCCAGTAACAGAAGTTTTGGAAAAAAATCCAGTGCCAGAATTTTAAAGCCGCTCCTGACTATCGCCAGAATTTTAGCAAGTTATGGACTTATGGTGATCGTCATAATTTCTAGCCAAATCCTGGCCAACACCAACGGTAGGGTGTGATCGCGATGGATGTCATAGTGTCTTATCTATTCAAATAGTGGGTGCTAAAATTGTGTTGGTTCAAATCAATACTGGTTTTCATAGTCCAACAGTCAACTAAACCATTTATTTGACGCGATGTCCCCTATTGATACAAAATTCTTGAAGAACTGCACTCTGCTATATGGAATCTCAACCTAAGTATAAAACAGAACTAGAGCAGATTTTATATTGTCATATTTGGTCAAAAAACATGAGATTCTCACAAGGACAGCCCAATGGTTAATTTCCTATACTAGGCGAAGCATCTACTAATATTATCCCGAAATATACAAACTTTGAAATTAGACGTCACATCAAATAACTCCATACTCTCTTATTCAGGGAAAGAGTAGTCTTACTTTTGAAGTGTTACAATAATCAACACTATGTCCTTTTAACAGTAGTAAATAGTATATTTTCAATTTTTTTAATCTTACTGAAGCTGGAATCAAAGAGTAAATCAACTTTTACTTTCCATAACGAGTAAAATAATGAATTAATTGAGGTAATGCATTTGCTTATTTTTGTTCAGAAAATTAGAACACAGTTCCCTCGGTGACGCCTATTTAATATACAAAAACGGTTGGGGTGCGGCCCTACCCTCTCTTTCTAGTGGAATTCACCTCTTCCTTTCGCTCAGCAAAACTTTCTAAGCCTTAGAAATTTTTTGGCCATCCCCATTCCTTCTTCGTTCCGCATAAGAATGTTTTGGAACTAAATACCTCGCTTACAATCGGAAGCGGTGCCCAATGCATAAAAATTGATCGCTGACTCTGGGCCATGCAAATTAGTAGAAACAGTTGCTTGAGAAAAAAAAATTGGTTTAAGAATTGGGTAGGGCCGCGCGAACGCAGGCCCCTGCTACCACAAATTATGACATAGGCTCGACCACTTGGGTCGGCCTTAGGCGGGCACTCCTCCAAAGTGCAATGGAGGTCACCAACCTAGGCCATGGGTCTTATTGATCACCCATTGACCCCGTCCAGGTAAGTATGTTTCATTGATGCTCCTTGCAATGATTTTATACCCCTCCTGATCCTCAGTTTTCTTTGTTTCAGCCGATGAGGGACATTTATGAATTTATTTTCCCCTGTTTGGTAAGTAAAGTAAGAGTGAGCCATCCACTTTCTACTTGTTTTTCGTTTCTTTTTCATTTATATAGCACTCCTGGCAGATAATAAACAAATTGTACGACATCCAGGTTCCAGAAGAAACAAGTTCAGTTTAACTAATGATGTTCATTTCGGTTCTGAATTGAAACAAAGGGAGTATTACATACCTAGTATACCTATCATTCCACTTGTTTCTTCAACTAGTGTACATATCAAACATCTCACCAAAGGTTAAAACTAGAATTGTAGGGGGAACTCAAAGAAGAGAACACCTCCAAAAATAGGCGTATGCCACTAAATGCAGCGCGCACACGGTATTCTTTAGTAAAAGGCG